AAATATAATTAACTTCAGGCTAATTGAAATAAACTGCATTATAAGTCGCTCCAGACAATTCTTGGCAGCTCATACTGTTTGAGACAAGGAGTTTGGTGTAAATATTCCTTTGGAGAAGTTGATTTCACATGCTTTGCCGACCTTAGGATAAAAAAAGTGGAATGGTTTATGAGTACGAGGTTCTAAAATAACTTCCTTTGCCTTACTTGTTCTCCGCTTCTCTCCAAAGTGTAAGGACACAACAGTGGGTCTTTGTTTTCCTGACCAAACGTGTTGTTTCAGCCAGAATGGAAACATGACCACAGCACTGGCACACACATGTTTCTGATTGGCTTTCATTTTCAGAGCTAAAGTCAGAGGTCAGTCCAGGCCCACCACATTGTCTGGCACCTAACCTAACCCTCTTAGCTTGTTGTTGGTTTGTCTAAACACACGTTTCAGTGTTTATACCCAATCGAGACTGAACCAGACCCCCTTGGTTGTGTATCCTATCCCGAGTTGCTGGAAACACCTACTGCCTCCCTAATGTGCTCCTTTAGAGGCAGGATTCATCTGAGGCAAGATCTGCTGAATGAAATGACAAAGTAAGTCACTCAAGAAACCTGATTTAAAAAAAGGTGTGGAGCGTGAGGAGAGTACAGGAAAGGTAACTATACTTTAAAGAGAAAAGAGATGGAAAAAAAATACTCTCTTTTGAGGAGGGGGTAAGAGAGTGCTGTGGCTTTTTGGCCAGAAAACCCAAGAGTCTGATCCTCATTAAGGAGCCCAAAGAACATCAAAGACTAACCCCAAACCTTTATCAGTGAGGAGCAGCCACAATCCCCATGATATTAAAACTGGGCGCCGCTCAGTGTCAAGTTCTGATGCACGAAGAGGAGCTCGGTTAACTCAGAGGCTGGAGGACTTAAAGGTCCTCGGGGTCAGTAGAAAGTTAACTTTTGCCCACCTCAGTTCTTTCCTGCTGTTAAAAAAGCTTTCTGTTGGAAGAAAAAAACAGGGGACACTGATAACAAGCAGCTGTGGGATGATATTGGTGGAATAGCATTGTGAGTATGCTCTAAAACATTTTAGAATGAAAGACACAACCTTCCCAGATGATTTAAATTAGCAGAACATAGTATAGTTCATTCAGAGTTTATCTATAACTTGAATTGCATACTTGATCTCAGAACTCTTTATGATGTATTTCTTTTTTGAATTCCAGGACGTAAGAAGAGGATGCTTTTCTAGTTATATTCCAAACTGGTTAAAATTCTGACTTCTTTTGTTTGTTAATAGTTTCAGTAATTTTCCAACAAAATTACCTGAAATATAGTACTTAATCATGACAGAACCTTAACTATGTGTATTGTTGACTTTAGATAGTGTTACTTCTTTCAAGGACCTCCTATGTCGATACAGTCATGGATTTGAGACAATACTTTCAGATTTGAATCCATATTCTCAGAAGACCTCTTGCCACCAAATTTCAGCTCAAGTGCTGAGTAATTTAGACCCTTACAAACTATTCTCAACACTTTTGTTTCACGAGAATAGCCTCTACAGAAACTTTTACTGAGACCATTCTTTCTTTCTTTCTCCAGGCCAACGCTTCACATACTGTTTAAGTCTTTTAGATAAAGTATTTATTAAGGCTAAATCTAGGCAATTCAGAGCTTTGGTCGAGATGATTTTAAATGATTGGTCTAAAAGTCTAAAGTTCCCTCACAATACCTGTTGTTGGTGTTCTGTGATTTTATTTTTGCTTCATCCCAAGCAAGGTAATCTGCCACGGTATAAGCACCCAATTTTCATGTGTACAGCCTAAAAAATTCTACTATAGAATGTCAATGTCAAATTTATTTCTATAGCACATTTTAAAAAACAAATAAGTTATTCTTAGAAATTCACAATTTAGCTAAACAAACAATAACATACACACAGAATAAAGCAGAGCTGAACCGGTCGGTTTGCGATCCGACCCTCATGTATGGCCGTGAACTTTGGGTTATGACCGAAAGATCGAGATCTCGGATACAAGCAGCTGAATGAGCTTCCTCTACAGGGTGGCCCGGGCACTCCCTTAGAGATAGGGATGGCCGAGCTCCTCACTTGGCCATCCGGAAGGAGCTCGGAGTAGAACCACTGCTCCTCCACATCGAGAGTATGTTAAGGTGGCTCGGGCATCTGTATCGGATTCCTTCTGGATGCCTCCCCCGGGAGGTGTTCCAAGCACGTCCCACCGGGAGGAGGCCCAGGACACGGCCCAGTACACGCTGGAGAAACTACGTGTCTCGGCTGGCCTGGGAACGCTTTGGGCTCCCGCCGGAGGAGCTGGAGGAGGTGTCTGGAGAGAGGGAGATCTGGGCGTCTCTACTAAATCTGCTGCCCCCGCAACCTGGTTACGGATAAAGCGGGAGACAACAAGTACGAGTACGAAACAATATAATCATAATAATAATCACAACAACAGAAAATTAAGATCAATGCAGTATTAGTCTTTCAAAATTGAAACATTACACTAACATTCATTAGCACTCTTCTTTTTCAGCCCAATATTTGCTGTGTTAAAAATACAGAAAGAAAAACTTAGGTCTGTTACACAACAGTTCACGGGATAACACCAACAACCATTTGATGTGTTTTTAAGGTTCAAAGTGGCAAACTGTAGATCTGTCACCATGTTTAGAAACAAACATAGCTATGTTTTTTTGTCATTTCTGAGCTAAAGTGGGAATGCATTGTTCTCTCATGCAACTACATATGCAAATTTCACCTTCAGACAAATCTTAGATATGATTTATTCTGAAGACAAATGTAGCTTTAACAGAATTTGCAGCAGCTTCTCGACACAACAAAAACATTAAAGCTACAAGCTGCTAAGCTGAGCTAAGAGAGTACTTTTGTGCCTTTCAAACATGAAAAATTTTGTTGATATCAAAATGATCATCTCGCTAGCAAACAGGTAAAAACACCAGGGTAGACAGATTGAGAAGGATTAACAATAATAAAATGGAAACCTGCCCTACATAATTCCACACACTACATAGATTAGGAGTAGAAAAACACTGAGTCTACCTTGGTGGTCTAAAAGCTGCAGCTGGACAGACTCATATTAAAACAACATAGACGGAAGACACCAAAAATTAACAAAATACTCAAACAACATATGTTTTATCTTAGAGTAATGCACCATGACCCCAAGAAGAACTCCATGTTCATTCAAAAAACTCCAGATCTCCAAAATCGACACATGAACTTATGCAGCTCCACAAAATGCATTCCTGTGTGTCATTATTGAAAGATAAAAAACAACCACAATTCCCCAGAGCTGTATGAACATTTCAAAGACATTTTTAAGTATGGAAGTCTGGAAGACATCAGATTTCAATGCATAGATGTTTCTAAGTCTAATATCTTGCACCGTTTATCAAATGTCTGTTCAGCCATAACAAAGAGTTGGTTTTCTAGGTAGTGTTAGTTCCTGAAAAAAAATAAAAACATCTCCAAGTGTAAAAGACTCCTACAGCACTCCAAATCAGTTCTGTGACTAAAAGGTTTGCACGTAGGATCAACAAATAATTATTTAGGAAGACAAACAAAGAATGATTGGATGGAAGTGCCAAAGAGTGAAAGCCCTCAGAAAGCTTGCCAAAATGTCTGATGATTACTCCAAGCCACAGCCATTAAGTCTCTCACATAACTGCCAACCTTTGCAGTGGCTCCTGACAGCCAAGACCTCATAATCACAGACTTCAGAAGCTGTTCATCATATTTTTGTTTTTTATTTTTATTTTAGCCATATTACCTGTGAAAGTACTGATGAGCTGACAATAAAGATGTGCTAATGGATAATAGTCTAAGAAAACCCCTTTTAATTCTAATTAGTGACCTTTTCGAAAAAGCTAAATCTATGCAAGGGTATTTTTAATCTTTGAAAAAAAGAGCTTGACTTTGATGTTAAGAAATAATTTCTTTGTAAGTACTTCAACATGAAAGAAACAGCTCCTAATTAATAAAATCCTCTGTCTTTATATTAGAGATTGAATCAAAGGATCAGCAGCCATTTGCTCATGTCAGCTTTGCACTTATTGGCATGTTGGTATTTCATAGACCTTCTAGGGAGCAAAGTGGATTAGCCCAAATTGGCTTGAAGTAAAAAGGAAGTAGAGAAAAACCAAATAGGTCCCACATAAAGAATATTCCACAATCATTCTATATGACTTTTGCTGGTAAAGCAATAGGACACTGTTTATTATTCTAAGCTTCAAAACACTGTAATAGTGTTCATAACCCTTGACATTTATATTGTGACCTCCTGAGTCAATATTTCCATTACCAGTTTTAAAGAAACTCTGAATAGCTGTGATGTCCGTGTGAAAGAAAGCGTTCTTACAGGAGGATGCTGCCACCACCATGTTTTACCGTGGGGATGGTGTGTTCGGTGTGGTGTTCAGTGTTAGTTTTCTTCCTTGCCTAATGTTTAAGTTTTAGACCAGAAGACCTTCTCCTCAGTGCATCCCCTACGAGACCCCTGGCAAACTGCAAACAAGACTTCTTATGGCTACCTTCTGACCACCGTTCCATAAAGGCCAGATTTGTGGAGTGGACGACTAATAAATGTTAACAAGTTCTCCAACTTCAGCTTCAGCTTTCTTCTCCAGAGTTAAAATGGTCCTCTTAGCTGCTAAGAGCTTAGCTGGTGGCTTTTATTTAAGGGTATCAGTTTAGAGGGGTGTAAATACAAATGCATGCTACATTTTTTACATTTTATAGAAAATGCTGGAATCCGGTGCGGCGCTGATGGTGTAGGGGTTAAGCGCGTGACCATATACAGAGGCTACAGTCCTCGAAGCGGCTGCCCTGGGTTCAAGTCCCGGACCCCCTCTCTCTACCCCTCTTTCCTGTCTGCCTACTGTCAAAAAATAATTAAATAAAGGCCACTAGTGCTGAAAAGATATCTTAAAAATGTTGGAATCCATGTGTTAGTTTTCTTTCACTACACAGTTAAGCTCTATCAGACACTGGGTAGTTGAGTTAATAGAGCATCAAACTTTTATTCTGAAGGGTCCAGGGTTCAAATTCCTGCTCAGGTGGTATTGTTTTGTATCCTACCCAAGCACCTAACCTGTACTATCATACCTCCTCTACTGCATATCTTTGTGCACTTTCACTCTATTTCTACACTGAAGTTAATAGTTGTAACATAACAAAATGTCAAAATGTTCTAGAGATATGTATATTTTTTGCAAGGCACTGCATCATCAAAAGCAGACAATGTAAGCAGCTGAAAAAAGACAACTGCTGTATGAACTGCAGTTAAATTTTCTCAGCACTTTCTGAATGTCTTCCTCCAACAGCCGCTACACTGCTACCGCACCCAATCAGTGGTATCCCATCCAGTTACACACACACCCGCCCCACAAAACCTCCCATTTGTCTCAGTGACAGGAGCGGCCTGCGGTTATTGACTGGGAGAGGATTCTCTTCAGCTTCACAAATGCAGTTATCAAATTAGATACAAAAGCAAAGCATGTGAAAAGCTGAGTGTTCGATGACTTGTATTTGCCAAGTGAGGTAAATTATATGCAGTAGGAGCCATTCAAATAAAAGATAGTTACTGAGGAAAAGTGTTCAGGGATGTGTGCTCATGATTTTGGTTTCTCTTGCACCTCCAATAACTATGCTGAGATATACAGGGGTTGGACAATGAAACTGAAACACCTGGTTTTAGACTACAATAATTTATTAGTATGGTGTAGGGCCTCCTTTTGCGGCCAATACAGCGTCAATTCGTCTTGGGAATGACATATACAAGTCCTGCACAGTGGTCAGAGGGATTTTAAGCCATTCTTCTTGCAGGATAGTGGCCAGGTCACTACGTGATACTGGTGGAGGAAAACGTTTCCTGACTCGCTCCTCCAAAACACCCTAAAGTGGCTCAATAATATTTAGATCTGGTGACTGTGCAGGCCATGGGAGATGTTCAACTTCACTTTCATGTTCATCAAACCAATCTTTCACCAGTCTTGCTGTGTGTATTGGTGCATTGTCATCCTGATACACGGCACCGCCTTCAGGATACAATGTTTGAACCATTGGATGCACATGGTCCTCAAGAATGGTTCGGTAGTCCTTGGCAGTGACACACCCATCTATCACAAGTATTGGGCCAAGGGAATGCCATGATATGGCAGCCCAAACCATCACTGATCCACCCCCATGCTTCACTCTGGGTATGCAACAGTCTGGGTGGTACGCTTCTTTGGGGCTTCTCCACACCGTAACTCTCCCGGATGTGGGGAAAACAGTAAAGGTGGACTCATCAGAGAACAATACATGTTTCACATTGTCCACAGCCCAAGATTTGCGCTCCTTGCACCACTGAAACCGACGTTTGGCATTGGCATGAGTGACCAAAGGTTTGGCTATAGCAGCCCGGCCGTGTTAATTGACCCTGTGGAGCTCCCGACGGACAGTTCTGGTGGAAACAGGAGAGTTAAGGTGCACATTTAATTCTGCCGTGATTTGGGCAGCCGTGGTTTTATGTTTTTTGGATACAATCCAGGTTAGCACCTGAACATCCCTTTCAGACAGCTTCCTCTTGCGTCCACAGTTAATCCTGTTGGATGTGGTTCGTCCTTCTTGGTGGTATGCTGACATTACCCTGGATACCGTGGCTCTTGATACATCACAAAGACTTGCTGTCTTGGTCACAGATGCGCCAGCAAGACGTGCACCAACAATTTATCCTCTTTTGAACTCTGGTATGTCACCCATAACGTTGTGTGCATTTCAATATTTTGAGGAAAACTGTGCTCTTACCCTGCTAATTGAACCTTCACACTCTGCTCTTACTGGTGCAATGTGCAATCAATGAAGACTGGCTACCAGGCTGGTTCAATTTAGCCATGAAACCTCCCACACTAAAATGACAGGTGTTTCAGTTTCATTGTCCAACCCCTGTATGTCTTACTTGTTTTAGTTTTCTGTTTGGTCATTTTGATTTGTTACAAGTTCAGTGTATTTATTTCATATTTTTGAAGAATGCTGCGTTTTTTTTTTTTTTTTTTCTTTGGACACGACCATGTGTCAAGACTTGGGCATGTTTCATAGCTGCCAAGAAAAATGATGATATAAGGTTTAATTTAAATATATGGGTGAAGATAGGCACAAACAAAGCGTTAGATCAATGTGGAGTGCGGGAAGTAATAATAAGTAATAATTGAATTAAAACTGTGACAATCCTGGATCATCCTACTTCTAACCGACTTCTGCCCAGACTACGAGAAAATTAACAAAAGAAACACATTTACTTTATGGACATCTTCTCCCAGTCTTCTTCCATCATCTTCTCCCAATTTGTTATATTAATTCATGTGGGCTTGTTAAGTGTGAAGATAATCCCTGCATCTGTTTTTGTCAATTACTACTGTTAATTTCCACAAACTGCTGATTTATGTAAAAATAACTCAAAATAAATGCTTGAAGTAAATCTAAATCTGCCAGGGGTATGAATAATTTTGGTTTTAACTGTAACAAATGAAATTATTAAACCTGTTTTAAATGCTGCTTGGTGAGTCCATCTCCCCCTGTGTCTTACTGATGGTGTTTTAGATGTAGAATGTAGTGTTGGTCTGCCCTTCTTGTATTCTGATGGTCTGTTTTTCTGGTAGTTTTTCTCCAGAATAGTTCATAGTCAGATATTTGAGTCCAAGGATTAAGGTGTCATTTATGCCCTGTGAACTACTGGATTTGATTTGAATAGTCAATACAGATGGCAGACATGAATCCTGTAACAAGAAAGCTTCCAGAAGATTAAGAGAATACAGTTAACTGAAGTACGCGCCTGCATTGTATAGGAAAAAAAGTCAACCCCTCTGTTTGTCGTTGTAGAATTTGCACCCTGAAGAAAAGCAGGTGATAAACCATATACAAATGTACAGTTGAGGAAGGTTTGATGGTATCAAAAAATGGATAGAAAGAAAACCTATTCGAAGCATATACGAGTGTGTGTGTAATAACAGTTGACCTCTGCAGCAGAAACCAAGATCTTCTGATCAATTTGTGAAGTCATTAAAACCACCAAATGTGGATGAAAGATTCAGTGTTGTCAGCACGGACTGTTCGAGATAAGCTTTACACAAGCTCCATTATCAAGTACCACCATACAAGGGTGCGTGAGGACATGAATGCAGATGCACGCTTTGTGTTGAATATCAGCGCAAACCCTTATAAAAGCTAGGCCATTTTGTCCACACACACATCTATTTGATATTTTCCTTTGAACATGACCTGGCTGTAACATCAAACGAGAAGCTCTTTGACTCCTAACTCGTCGCTAAATCAGTTTTGTGCTCACATTGCTCCTTTGAGAAAAAAAAAAGAAAAAGAAACCTTAATCAGGCAGTATATCATGCATGGTTAGTGTTTGGGAAGGGCATATGGAGACTGTGATTACATCCTGACTCCTCACACCAAGACAGACTGTCTCACATCACCAGTAAAGAGGAGCAGCTATTTCCAAAGCACATCTCGTGGTGGATGAACAATAACTCTGTGGAGAAATGTGCAACCCTTTGGGTGTTGTCATTTTGACAGTGAACATTTTTTTCTCTGTGTTATCAGACCTTAGATCCCCTAAGATGACTATCAATAGCACAGTCTTGTTGGCTTTTTCTCAGCTGCTTCTACATGTGACAAAAAATGAGGTGATTGCATTCATCGCTTGTTGCTTGCAGATATGACAAACTACACTATCATTCACTTTATTGGTGACAAAATCTTACACGTATACTTCATCCTGTCATCTTCAGGAAGGAATTCGTGCAGGGGAATTGTTTAGAAAAGGAAAAGAAAACAACAACAAAAAACATCTGTTCCTGCTCCATAGCACCAGCTTCCCACTGCAGGAGACACTGGAGCCTCCAGCAGCGGAAGAAGACAGAAGAGGACAGATAATTCATCAGGCATGCAGAGCTTCACCAGGCAGCGAGACGGAGATGATGACTGTACCAAGATTAATTGCAAGCACAAGAATATTATGCACAACAAGTTTTACTCTCTCCTGTCCACCCTTGTCATGTTTCTCTTTCTTTTTTTAGTCTTGTCAAAATAATCCCCCCACTCCCACCACCCCACCGCCGCTCTTCAACTTAATTTCTCAAGTATGACCTTTATTCAGACTCGCCTTCCTCACGCTTGATGATCGAACAAAATGTCACAAGTCAGGATGTAGTACACAGTGTTGCTTTTCTATGCTGTAATATAGTCTGGGTGTAATGTGAGTTAAATCACAGGAACTATAATCAGGAAAATATGTACACTGTTGTCCAGTTCGAAAATCGAATGTGCATTTGAAATAAAAACAATCTAGATTTACAAGAACACTTACATTGATTATTGCAATAAAACAACTATGTTGTTTGGAAAAAGCTGCCAGGAGAGATTTCTGCCTCAAAAAAGAAGAAGTTGTACAAACGGAAATACTGAGAAGTGAAATGATCACTTGTTGAAAGAGGGGAATTCAGACTGCTTCTCCTCAAGAAGGCCTTAATCACTGGGGATATCTGGGAAATTATGTCACAGTCATGTGAAGTTACCTTGAGCAAGTTTAGAAGAAAAACAACAGGTGAGTGATGTCATTTCATGCCTTCCCAGGTCAGACAATTCAAGATGTTTTAGGGATGTCCTGATCCCATTACAGGAATCGAACTGGGGTGGCAGTCAGGGCAATATAAAATGATTGTATCTGAGTTTTCGGCAGTACTTTAATTTTATGTCATAAAATATTGTTATGCTCTACATAAAAACATCATCCGCACGAGCTGGACCTGATTTTACTGAAGACAGTAGTTGTATGTCAGAAATATCTTGAGAAACTGCTGATAAAGCCTTGTTGGGACAGCATATTTACATTGACCTACAGAAACTCATGTTTGGGAAAAATAACTTTTACTTTCAGTAAAAACAGATGCAGACCTAAGCATCCTGAAAGTCATTGGTCATTAAGTTAAAGGGGACACTATCAAAATACTAATCTAGTCTATTTAATACTGATAAAATGTAGTGTTTTTCCGGGCATATACATATCATT